AACTAATATTAGTAGTATATATATATATATATATATATATATATAGTTTTATAGAATTATTAACTAATTAAATATTTCATAACAAAAAATCGTAATGATACTATAAAAATTTGTATATACTCTTATAATATCATTGACAAATGAGTTCAAACAAAAAATTTTAATGACATCACAATAATATGTGTATACTCATATAGTATCATTGAGTAATGAGTAATTTCTGAACAAGAAATCTTAATGATATCACAACAATATACATATACTTTTGTAGTATCATTAACTAGAGTAATTTCTGAACAAAAAACTTTAGTGATACCAATACAGTATATATATGTTGATTTAGTATCAGTGAATTGAAATTATCACTCGTAGGGGTCGTTTGGTAGAGTGTATTCGAGAAAATAATGCTAACTTTAGCTTGATTTATTATCAGTACCTTGTTTCGTACACTTTTCTAACATGTGCATAACTAATATTTGTATTAATAAGTAATACACTCTATTGTGTACTGAAAAGTGTATTACTAATATCATCTTTTTCAATGCATTAGTAATGAAATGGGTTCTAATGCATACATTAGCATTATTACCGATACAATTGCTATCGAATTTATATTTGTGGATGGTATTTTTGTGAACAAATATTTTTCTAAAAAAATTATGTAATGCATAATATTTGTAGTACACTCAACCAAACATTGCATAAAAAGAATCTCATCATAACTAATACAAGCATTACTAATGCAAATATTTCAATACACTATATTTTGCATTATTCTTATATATTCTACGAAACTAATAACAGATAGTATTAAATAAATAGTATAAAATAATATTAGTATTTACTGTGTACTAATCCTAGTCCTATTAGGATTAGTACTCCTTAATCCTAGTCCTATTAGGATTAGTACTCCTTCCTATATCTCCTATATATATCTCCCATGTATTCCCTTAACACTTCAATACAATCAATATTCCTTCATGGTATCAAAAAATGTTTATTGGCGTCATGCTATGGATGACGAGTTTAAGGCTTTGACTGATCAGAAAACTTGGGTTCTTGTACCTAAGCCCCATGGGCGGTACCCAGTGGGCTGTAAATGGGTGTACAAAATTAAACACAATGCAGATGGCAGTATTTCCAGGTACAGGGCTCGTTTGGTTGCTAAAGGCTACAATCAGGAGTATGGGCTTGATTACTCCAAGACATTAAGTCCTGTTATTCGGCAGGAAACCATTCGCCTGGTACTGTCACTCGTCGTGCGCAACAATTGGCTCATCAATCAGTTGGATGTTTCCAATGCTTTTATTCATGGCATGCTTGATGAAACTATCTACATGATGCAACCACCGGGCTATGTTGATCCCCGCTTCCCTCGACATGTTTGCAAACTCCAGAAGTCTCTGTATGGGCTCAAGCAAGCCCCCCGTGCTTAGTACACACGTCTGAAAACGTTCCTCCAGGGACTCGGCTTTACGTGTTACGTACACGACATGAGTCTGTTTACTCGACATTCAGCACACGGTACAGTCATTCTTCTTGTCTATGTAGATGATATCATTATTACAGGCTCTACTGCAGCTCTCATTCACGATGTCACTCGAGCTATGCATACTACCTTCAAAATGAAGGACCTTGGCCCGTTACATTATTTTCTGGGAATGGAGGTTTCTCGGACAGGCAGCGGCTTGTTTTTTCATCAGTCAAAATATGCTCGAGATCTGTTGCAGAAAGCTGGACTGGAAAAATGCATCAATCAACCAACACCGATGGCAGTCTCTTCGTCTACAAATGGAGCCGACACCCCCTTTGCCGATATCACCCACTTCCGCAGCCTCATTGGGGCTCTACAGTATCTGGCCATTACCCGTCCTGACATCTAGTTTGTTGTCAACCGAGTTGCTCAGCGCTTGCATCAACCAAGTGAACATGATTACCATTGTTTAAAACGCATTCTCAGGTACATTTTTGGCACTCTTGGTCGTGGTTTCCTCATTCAACCTGGGGACTTGGAGCTTCGGGGTTTCTCATATTCAGATTGGGCGAATGATAAAAATGATAGAAAATCTACATCGGTGTTTGTCATTTTTTGGGGCCGAACCTGATCTCTTGGTGTACAAAAAAACAACTCAAGGTCTCTCGGTCCTCGACTGAAGCTGAATACCGCGCCCTTGCTCTTCTTGCTGCTGAGACCATGTGGGTCACATATATTCTTCGCGAACTCCGCGCCACTCACACTGTTCTTGCTCTCTATTGTGACAACAAATCAACCATCTGTGTGGCCAAGAATTCCGTCCTACACACCAGAATGAAGCATGTTGATACCGATTGTCTCTTTGTTCGCGATGAAGTTCAGGCCGGCACCATGACTGTGCAGTATGTACCCACTGAAGAACAACTGGCTGATATTCTCACGAAGCCTCTCCCGAGCCGACAGCACGATTACCTCAGTTCCAAGCTTCCGTTCGCTT